GGCTGGGGAATTCTGGGAGTTGAAGTCCACACATCTTAGAGTTGCCCAGGTTGAGAAACACAGCTCTGGAGAGAGGAACAGAGTTGTGATAAGAGAAGAGGTCTAATTAATACGCAGAACCATTGGAAAATTCCAGAGCTCCCTCAGTGATCAAGGTGTCAAATTAAGCCCTGCTTTTTTCACCGCACCAACTCAGTTCACGTGAACTGGGTTTATTGGACATTGCATTCTTGTGCGTGTGAGCACTTTGGAGAGGCTGGGAGAGCAGTCAAGTTTCCCTTGCTTCCTTGCTTTATTTGTGTCCTCCAAGATAATGGCCTAAAGGTGAAATGGAAACAGGATTATGTCTAGCCAGCCTTCAGTCAAAATGCTGGTTACTGCCAACAAGGATTCTAGTTGCCAACTGTCTTATTTGTATCCACCACAGTGGTGAGCCTGGAGTGGACGCGGTGTCCTCGGGCTTCAGTCCCAAAGCTGTCATTTCTTGTCCTTCTAAATACTGAACATTGGTATCCTGCTCTGGCTGCAAAACTTTAATAACTCATTAATTTTTAGAAGATGGTTTGTTAGCATCTGTGCCTTTCTCCTTTTTCAGTCATTACATCATGTATCTGAGGTGGCAGGCGCACTGAACAAATAGCTTCTCAGTTCCAAGACAAAATCCTTTATACCTAATGAATATTTCTCATTTGTTGGCACAAGAGGTTCTGCTGATCTTTCAAAGTATTCAGACGCCATATTTCTAACTTGTTTTAAAGAGCACTTTCCTCATACACAATTTCTTAGGCGTACATCAGAGCTGTCCCACAATCCCAGGAAAAGATGGGGCTGTTTTGCAGAGTTACGCGTGGGGCTGTTTGCCTCCTTGACGGTTGCGAAACCCCTTTTTTGGGAATTGAATCCAGAGCACCACCTGTCATTTTAAGGTTTATGATACAGATTTCTTGTGTTTCAGCTTCAGAATTAATTTCTGTCCATCCAGGGAGATCGGGCAGAGTGGGTGTGCTTTGGGTGCCATTAATTAAGCAGTTTCACTTAACGAGATCCAGGAAGCGTGCTTCCTCTGTTGTGGTACCTATCCTCTGGAATGAGGTCCTCCCAGAAATCTAGATGGTCCCCACCCTCCAGGAAGCTACTGTTGGAAGGGATTTTCTTTATATGCTTGTTTTCAGGCCACTTATGAATCTCTTTTTCTTTGTTGATGTTCTTCCTTTTAACTGTAAGCCATCAAGAATTATCAGCCTCTAAATTGCTTAAATAAATAAAATAAATAAATGTGGGGGAAAAGAAAACACACAAAACACTCACTATTTGGTGACAGGTGATTCCAAAATCATTTTTTGGCCCCTAAAAGGGTCTCTAGAGCTAGAGGTTGCCACCCCCGATACAGATCCGTTGAGCACAATGGGACATAGGTTAGTGTTCAAAATAAGCTTTTAGACAAGAGTAAGAAAAAATGCCATGCCATACAGACTGATTGATCCTGATAACTACATTTTTTAAAAAGTATAATTTAATTCTTTGTAGCAGGCTGGGTGCCAATTTTTAAATACATATTTATGGCCATCTTTTGGACACTCAAGTCTTTAATAGCCTTAACTTCACAAATGGAGGGAACTTTTAAGGCTCAACCCCAAAATTAGCACGAATGCCCAAATGTACCAAGCATGCATGCATGCATGCATAAATAAAATTAATAAATATTAAGACAGGGCAGTGATAGAGGAGACAAAATATGATGAGAGAAAATTGCTGCCTTAAACATAAGCAAAGATTTATTTAACCTGGCTTTCTTTTGTTGCCAGAAATTGACAGAAATTAGGTTTCCATTGAAAAAAACAAACCAAAAAAAAAAAGCCAAAGGGTATAGATGCCATATGCATTGTGCAGGGCAAGGTTATCCATTTTTACCTATACCTACTTTTGTCTACATGAGTACTTATTACAAGAACAATTAATGGGTTTATTTTTAGCACAGGACTGTACAAAGAAAGTCTATTACATCAAGCATGATTAATTCCTAAGATTTTCTCACTGTTCTTGTAAGCCTTTTGAATGTATAGATTTGATTTTGGGGGGGGGGGGGGCTTCAACATTGTGCTAAAAGTCCAGTTGCCACCAAAACGTCCTTTCCATCCCATTTAATAGAGCTCAGTTATGAGCTCATGTAGTAACATTCTACATTTTCTACTCCTTGGTGTCAGACAGCAAGGAATATTAGGAGAAAGGACAAGGAAATATAGATCATTATACTGTAATGTTCTTCTGGGCCTTGGAGAGAAGAATGGAAAAGCCTGACACACAGCTTCTGGTTCTGGTGGCCACCATGTGGTTGGCCTGACAT